CTCCCTGACCATTGTGAAGGAAGGAGGGCTGGGCAGAACACCCCCCCCCCCCGCTACTCAGAGCGGAAGCAGTGCCTTAGCAAGCGGCAAAGCATAAATATTGGAACCTGAGGCTTATCCGCCCCACGGTGCAGAGACGCGCCGGATGCGTGGCGGTTGCCTGGCAACCCCCTGCCTGCGCCTGAGCCCCTTCGCCCACGCAGCTGTCCTTGCCTTGCTCAGCACCTCCTGCCCATGGGCTCCTGCTCACCAGGCCAGCTGGAGGGAGCTGGTGTAAGAGACACCAGTGTCTTCCCTGGTCAGGCTCCAGTCTTGTCACTTAGGTGGGCTTTAGCCTGCTTGTCCAGATGGAGGAGGGGAAGGGGCCTCTGCCAAGTCCACTTGAGCAGGTAGGGGCATCTGCAGGTCAAGTTCAGGTGGACAACATTCTGATGCCTGGAGCATCTGACCTAAAAAGATGAACAAATGGGGACCCTGTCTCACCCAGAGCCCCTGACCTCAATTAGGCCTCCAAATACCCCTAGTGCGAAGCTCCTTTGCCATCCTCAGATGGAGGCAAAGAGAGGTCGTGCTTGCCCAAGATCACACAGCTGCTGGTCCACAGAGGTTGAACAGCTTTTTGAGAAGAGGAAATCCAATTTTAGATGCCCCCCCCCACACTCCTGATGGTCTGAGGCTCACCTGGTCGAGTGTGAGGCTCCCAATTAAAGATAATGACATCATCCCAGTGGGGGTGGGGGCACTCGGCTGTCTGGGCTCTGGGAAGTAGCCCCACTCTCAGCTGATGATGAAGGTCACTTGAAGTCACAATGCTGAACCAGGGCCAGAATCCAGATGCAGGTCAGATGTCTCACCCATCTCAAGAGGCTCTGAGGAGAGAAGTGCCCTTCCCACCCCAGGAGGCATAGCTTGGGGCTCCACTTGTCCCTCCCTGTTCACCTCCATAGCCTCCCCTTGTCCACCCTCCCTGGGTTGCCTCACCCTCCAGTCTGGACCTAGAGATGCCTTGGGCACAGAATAGGTGTAGTCTTGGAGAGATGAGAAGTCACATGGACTGTGATCCTGCTCAGGAGGATGCAGAATATCAAGGGAAGAAGGCACTTGGCAGACTCCTCTGAGTTGCAGGTGTGTGTGTGTGGTACCCCTAGACCTCGAACAGGAGGCTCTTCTCATCTCTTCCTTGAGGTCTACTCTGTGTGGGGTAGTCAGGCTCATCTGTGGCACCCAGAGTGTCCTACTGATCCTGGGCAGAGGCAGCCATAGCCATGGGGGAAAATGAATACATCTTGGCTCCCTGCTGCAGGGGGACAGGACAGGCACAGGCAATGCCTCTCTCTGAGGTGGCAGCCTCCCCTCTTCTTTGAGGGCAATTTTGGAGGCCAGCTTGGAAAAGCTGCTCCCAGGGGATCTGACACTCAGCCCAGGCGTGTGGAAATTTCAGAAGCCCCTCTCTCCTGGGGGCCTGGACAGGGAGGTGGGCAGTTTGGAAATTAGGGAGATTAGTCCCTTGTTTGGTAATTAACAGGGAAACAGGTCAGTCAGACCAGGCCGCAGGATGGAGGGGCCACAGGCTGCACTGTGGGCCTGATACCTACCAAAGTACTCCTCAGGCTCCTCTGAGGAACTTGCCAGTGAAATCTCTGAGTGCTCCCAGAATCCTCAGCAGAATGTCCAAAGGTCCAAGGACTAGACCTCACTGTGGCCCTTCCTAGTGTTAGTCACTAGGCCTAGCAGAGACCACCATGGGTTTTCTCCAATTTAAGAAAGCTTCCAGGAGGTCAAGACTTCAGAGAGTGGGCAGAAACAACATGGTGTGAGGAGCAGGAGGACTTTAGGTGGCCACTATGGCTAAGCTCTGTTCCTCCCCGGAATTCCTGCTGTGCCACAGCACCTCCTTGCCTTTGGGGTTCAGTGGGTTTGAGCAGAGGAGTGGAGAGTTCTCATCCTGGCCTCTGAGCAGTCAGAAGGGCAGTGGTAATGGCTTCCCTTGCTGCTTCTTTGTCCTGCCCAAACCTTAGACCTCACGTGTCCAGGGTGGCCAGAACCTAGGTCCAGGCCATGCTGCTGGTGGTACATCTGTACTCTGTCGGGTCTGGCTGAGGGGCAGGGGTTGGAGACAGGTCTCAGGCACAGGCCTCTAGCTACACCTTCCTGGGAACCCTGAGGGACTCCTTGGCAGTTCTCAAGGGGCCCAGGCTGATGCATCCAAAACCAGCCCTTCATGGGTTTTAGCCTCAGTTTCCTACCCATAACACTTACAATGTGGTCGTACGGTGAGTTCTAAGCCTGATTGACAAGTGAGTGTGTATTCCAGGATCAGGCTGTGCTGTGCTGCCTGTAGGGAAGTGAGGGATAAGACACCCCCTATCCCACCCCAGTTGTGTTATCTGCTTAGTCCTTAGGCCACGGCTGGGTTAAGAAGTCACCTCTTTACAGAGTGTCTGGGGAAGTGTGACCTTTTGCCCTAAGGTTGAGCTTAGCCTGTGTGGCCCTACTGTGATTGAGCTGCCCTATATGGAACTGAGACTTGGTATCCAGGGCTCCACAGCCAATGGGCAAAGGCTCATGGGGAGCCAATAGTTGCTTCCTCTTCAGCCTTGTCCTGGGTCCTGGAGGACAGGGCATCTATATCCCTGAGGGACCTCTACAGCCCTAAGCCCCAGGAAGACAGGGCCAGCCCATCCATGTCATTGTCCTCAGCAGCTAGAGCTATAGATTCTGGGAAATTTTTTCCACAACAGTACAGCCTGGGACCCCATTTAGATCCTGCAAGTCCCAGTCTCCTCATTATCCTCCATTTCCAGGTCTAGTACAGCCCAGTCCTGCCTGCTTCCCAGAAAAGGCTAGCAGTGCCTCCCTGCTCTGCTGCAATCCAGTGAGTTTACCTCTACCTTGGAGGCTAGCTTGGTCTGCTCCTTGGGGCACAGGACCACCTTCTCTTAAGGGGCCAGGGGGACTTCTTGTTTACATGCACCATGTGGGCAGAGGCTCTTTGGAGCCCTGGAGCCCCATCCTACAGTCCCTGGGCCAGGCAAATAGCCTCACTAGCCAGGGGCATGCAGGTCCTGTGGTGGCTACTTCTGTTCCTTCTGGCCCATGTGCTCTCCCAATGGAGCTCCCAAAAGGGCTGGGATCTAGGTCACTAAGAGGCCCCACTACAGGCCTTCAGATGCCCTTGACTTGGATTGGCCATTGCCTGGGTCTTCTGATAAGAGAAGGGTCCCCATATGTCATGAGTCCACTCCTGGGCAGGAGACAGCCAGGTATCTCTGACTTGCAGGAGAATCAGGGGGCTGGTGGTTAGAGCCTCTGCAAGGCAGGCCCTACATCAGGATCTCTGCACTCCTTGGAAGGGACGCCTTTGACCTGCCGAACAAGGCCTCCTGGAACACATCAGGCTGTCAGCCCTTGGCTGGGGCTGCTAAGGAATCAGACGTTGGGTTTTGGTCCTCTACCCCAGCATCACTGAGGATGGGCAGAGCTCAGGGAATCCATCCTGTGTTACTCCAAACTGCTTGGGTTGTGATAACTGAGGAATATCTGATGTGTGTGCTTCTCCCCAAGAGCAGGATGCTGTTCTCATTTTCTCCCCTTGTGTGATACTCTGAGCCTTAAACTTTCTTTTTTTGGTGTGTGTTTCTGGGGATGGAACCCAGAGCTTTGTGCATGCTAGGCAAGTGCTCTGTCACTGAACTATACTCCCAACCCCCTCAGCCTTAAAGACACTGACATTGAGAGGGCCTGGTATGGGGTATTGCCTGGGTATGAGATGTTTGAAAGCCTGTAGGTGAATGTGAGGTACAGCTAGGTTGAGGACCCCTTGGGTATATGGGAGCCTCTCTGGGCCGTGCTGCCTTGCAGAGGACTCGGTGGAGCTACACCTTCCCACTCAGTGACCCTCCTGCTGGGCCACTGCACTCAGGCGCCTCCGGAAGTATAACCGTCTCAGCAACACCAGATCATCAGGCTGACATGGGAGCCTTCACCCACCTGGCAGGATTCCCTGGGCCTGGGGCAAGAGGCTGTGTGTTGTGGGCCTCTGCCTGCCTCCTCCAGCCCCCTGCCCAGTTCTCCTTGGCCCAGCATGGATTCTGGGTACAAGCTCCTGGGCTAATCTCATTCTAGCCAGACTGCTGCTCCGGGATGGTGTCAAGAGGGCCTCACCACAGCTGCCCATGAGCTGGTCACCATGGACATTTCTGTGGAGGCCTCCCCAGCCAGGCCATTCCAACTCTGTTCACAGAACAGTCATGAATATGAAGATGGACACAGCAGGGCCTCATGGAAGAGGTGCAGTCAGACATAGATGCTAGGCTGGCATCTCTACAGCTCCTGGGCATATGACACAGCTACTAAGCCTCCTTTGTCTAGGGTGCGCTGTATTGGCTGCCCCAAGTACCTGGCTTGAGCTCAGCCCAGGACCCCTGTGAATAGTAGCCTAACCATCAGGTAGAACCCCCACCTGGCCCCTAACACCTCCAGAACAATAGCAAGTCAAATAAATCACCCAGCCAGTCCCTCCCTCTGAGGCACCTGGTGTCTATCACTTCACTTAGCCTCAACTCAGGAACAGAGGTCACTTTCTGCCTGATATTTTCCCCTAGTCCCTTCATCTCTGTAGAGAAATAACTGCATGCTGTGAAAAGCTAGACCTTAAGGGCACAGATTTTATGGGGCTTTGAAGACTGATTAAGAGTTTGCTTGATGGCCAGAATGAGGAAGAACATTCTTTCCAGAAGAAACCACCAGCAAGTTAGTTTGCCAGCATGAGCAAAGGAAGGTTGTGTTGAATACACATGTCCCTCTGTGGTCACCAGTTTATGTGTGCTGTGAGACAGATTTGCTAAAGATCAAAGAGCGTCACTTGGGCTGGGGATGTAGCTCGGTGGCAAAAGTGCCTGCCCGGCAAGTACAAGGTCGTGAGTTCAATTCCCAGTACCAAAAAAGCAAACAAGCAAATAAACAACAACAACAACAAAACAAACAGCGTCACTCAAAAGTTAATTAAATGACATTTCAGAAATGATAAGATAGGCCAGTCAAGGAAAAAGATGTCCTGGTCTTTCTAGAGGTCATGTAACATCTCTCCTCTCACTCCATTGCAGTGACTGGGTGGTCAGAGAACTTCATGTCCATTGCCCGCTGTAATCATCTGTTAGTCAGCAATTCCAAGTCTGAAACCAGGAGGTCTCTGGCGCTGCTGGAGACTCCACATTCTGGGATGTTGTCTCTGATGGGAGGCAGAGGGGAGGCTGAAGGGTGGCCCCAAGACAGACACATACACATTCTGACCCCTAGGGCCTGAGAATGTGACCTTGTTGGGAAAGGGGTCTTTGCAGATGTAATTAAGTTAAGGATCTTAGGCTAGGATCATCCTGGATCATCATGTGGATTATCTGAGTGGGCCCTAAATCCAATGACAGTGTCCTCGGAAGGGACAGAAGAGGACACAGACAGGGGGATGATGGCAAGTGATGACAGAGACAGAGATGGGATTCATGTGGCCACAAGTCTAGGGATACCTGGAGCCTCCAGAAGCTGACAAAGGCAGGAAGGACCCTCCCCCAGCCCCTAGTACTTGTTGGGGAGCCTAACCCTGCCCCTGACTCAGTGCGGGACCTCTGGCTTCTAGAGATGGGGAGACTATATCTGTGTTCATTCAGTCCACGAAATCCATGGCCATGTATCATAGACACTGTAGGAATCCCATCTATGGATGGAGACACCAGCCATAGCCCTAGCCCCAGGGTTGTGGGTCATCCTTCCTGCCAAAGACAGGGCCAAGGCTTCCCCAGGTGGAGCTGGAGGCTGGTGGGGCCAAGGTGAGAGGATGGGCCTCCACAGCCTTCCTACCCCTTGTGCTCTTCAGGGGCCTGACTCCAGTCCCCACTCTGGACCAGTTGGCAGGTTTTGAGGTTATCTTATGGTGTCTGAGATTTGAGTATGGGGAGTCCAAACCCATTCTGTTATAGCTCACTCCTGGCAGGGTGGATTCAGGGGCTGGGGGTCCCTTGATTGGGGTCTGGCACCTACATCTAAGCCTTGAAGGATCTAACACTACAGATGCCACAGCCTCCACATCCATGAAGTGCACCCCACAGGGCCAGGAATGGCTCTGAGAAAAGTATCAGCCCTCAGCTCTCTATTTGCTCCTTCTTGTCACAAGAGATTAAAACTTGGCATTGTACCCCACCCCCAGCCCCCAGCCTGGGCACCCACAAGAGTAGATCCCCTTGTCTGCCTGGACCACCTTCTTTGCCCACACGTGGCTGGTCAGGGGCTGTGCAGAACAGATGTACTGTATCTGAGCCACCTGCTTAATTCTGAGATTTGTTTCCTCAGTCTGATCAAAGAGTGCCATGAGATCAAACAGTTCATTAAGAGCCTGGCCTGAGGGTGGGGGAACACTGCTGATGCAGAAACCACCAGATTAATAGCAGGCTTGTCCTTCAGGTTCAGCAGAAGTAGAGAGAGGCTCTGGATGGGGCTTCCGCTCCTGGGTACCCAGGTGCCCACTGTGTGTATGGGCCCACAGGGTTAACACATTCTAGTGCTTACCCCATGCTGGCATACTGATATGATCTCATGGCTTCTCTTAGCCCTGCTGTGGGGGCAGCCAAGCATCACCATCCACCTACCAGCCCTGCCTGCCCTTGGGGGCCAGGTTCTGCCAAGGAAACTCAAATAGGGACCCACCTGGTGGACACCCACCTTGTCTGTGGCTTGATCAGTGTTTTGGGCTGGCCTCTTAGCCAAAGAAAACTGGCCTTGTACTCTTTCACACAAAACACAAGAAAGTCCAAACAACAGGTCCCATGTTACCTGGGTCCTTCACCTCTAAGACTTGTATCTGTCACCAGGTAGAGTGAGAGATGCCAAGCCTTGCAGGAGGCAGCCCTGTTGGACAGGCAGTAGAGACCCCTACCATACCTCCTGCTTATAGGCAACTGCTCCCAGGCTTCTCCTCTCTGGCCCCTGAAGCCTAGCGGTGGGGCTGACCACTAGAGGGACACAGACACTAGGTGGGACTCCTTGGGGGAAGCTTGTGACTATCTGTTGGTCCTGCTGGCTTGTTGTCTAAATGCGCCACCAACAGTGTTCCCTGTGGGAGCTGCAGCCAGGGTGGTGAGGACCCATTCACCCCATCCATCCTCCACTCATCCTTCCTTCCCTCCTTCCATCTAACCCATCTTTCCGTCCATGCATCAGCCCGCCCACCCCTGCATCTGCCCTTCATCTATCCATGCATATTGGCTGGAGGTCTCCTACATGCCAACCAGAGCAGCCCAGCCCTTTTCTTTGGGGAGGTCATGCTCCAGCACCACGGGCACCTGCTTGCCACCATACTGGCCTTATCCAAGTGTCCTGCCTCAGCCTCCCCCACCAACTTCAGTGGATCTCCTGGGTGAGCCTGGAGCCCCCTCAGCTGCCTTACCCTTGCCCCAGGGTCCCCTCTGGATAGGATCCAGGCCCAGGCCTGCTGGATTGCTGCCCAGAGAACTGATGGCATTAGGCAGGTTACCTCCTATACCTCCTTCTCTGTAGTCTTTGGGCAGCCCAAGGGCCAGACCCTCAGGCCAGCCTCTTCAGCAAGGGCCAGAGCCAGAACCAGGGCAAGGCTTCCATAAAAGGCATGGTCCTCATCATACAGAGCCAGCCAAAGGACAGCGAGCAGCTATCTTCCTGCCTGAGACTAGCAGCTTCAGAAATCTGGGTCAGGCCTCCTCCCAGTTATACAGCTGCCTTCCAGGTCACAGAAGACCCCCAGTATCCAGCCTCTGCACCTTCTGCCTCTGTCCAGTTTCCCTCTGTCTGTGCCTCCCTCTTCAGGAAACACTGCCAGGATGACCAAAGCAGCAGGGTGGAGGTCCTCGCTGGGCTCCATGCCCAATATTTGCACAGCAACAACTATTAAGCCCCTCTTACAGGTGAGGAAATTGAGGCTTAGGGGGTGAAGCCACCTGTCCAGGACACACAGCCCACATATCCATCTTATCTCACACCTAGCGACCTGAAGGAGACCTGACAGAACGAGGTTCACAGGACCCCCTAGGCAGGAGATGGGCTGCCTGCCCTAGAGTACTCCAGGGTCAGGCTTCCTGTCTTAGTTTCTCCCCTGTTCTGTTAATCCTCTAGTCCTGCTCATACCCTGGGGCCCAACACAGGACCCCCCAGGCCCAGGGTGGCCTCAGAAAGCAGCCGTGGGCCTGGCCCAGGGTGTGGGCTTGGTCTCTCCAGTGTTCTGGAGTCTGTGAGATGTCAGTAGGGCTGCTTCATGCTTACTTCCTCCACGCTGAGCTGACATTCCCCAGGCCCAGCACAGACAGCCACGTGGGGTGCTCTGTGTGGGGGGAGCTACCACCCATATTGACCTGACCCCAGCAAACACTTCGGGGCCCCACAGTTACAGGGCCCTGTCACTACGCAGAGGAGGATGGGATATGGTCCACCAAGGACTGCAGAGGCCCAGGGCAGTTCCCTGGCCAGTTCAGGGCTAGACAACAGAATGAGGAGATCCCAGAAGGGAGAGGCTTTGCTGAGAACCCAGGGACTGACAGCTGCCCCAGCCGAGGGTGGGAGGGGTTCCCAAGTCCTGCAGGCTGGGGCCACCATTGGTCATAGAGAGACCATGGGCCCAGGAGGCTGCAGGGCCTGGGTGCCCTGCCCCACCCTGCCCAAATGTGTGGTCCTTCAAAGAGAAGAAGCCGCCCAACTCCCCAGGGGCCAGAGGAACAGGTTTCCTGGTTTGGAAGGAGGAATGACAGAGGAAGGGAAACAGGCCTGTGGGCACCTTTTTCTTGAGAAGGGCACAGCCCACTGTCTTGATGGCCCGAGGAATGATAACGGACCCCAGAATGACACCCACACCCTCCCACTTGGCTTCCACTTGGGCTTCAAGTCAGTGCTGGGCTCCAAGTCAGGAGCTGGCCAGTGGGTAGTGCACAGTGCTGGCAGCTGGCCCTCCCAGCAGCTCCAGAGACAAGGGAACCCCTCTGCTGGGCTGAGTCAGGACCAAGCCTCCCCAAGAGGAGGCCCTGCTCTGCACCTGCGGTGTGCCTGGAAGGCAGACTATATCCTCTGAGAGGGGATTCTGCAGCCTCAGACTGTCCTGCCATCACCTGCCGCTGTCACTGGGCTCCCTGTCAGCTTGTCCTGTTTAAATATTTAATCCAGTTAAATATTAAACCTCTTCCAAGCCCCAATTACAGCCTGATCAATTCCAGGTGGCTTTGCGGCTGTCGGTCTGCCCCTCCTTCCCCAACCAGAGCACTCCAGGGTGGGGTGGGCAGGGGAGGGGCCCAGAGGGCAGGGAAGGAAGAATGGTCTGGGTGGAGAGGGACTGGGGGAGGGACAGTGTCAAGGAAGGGAGGGGAAGTGTGTGGAAAGTAAAGTGTCTGAGGGGTTCTGCAGCCCTCAAAATGCAACCCGTGTTCTGGGGACCTATTCTCTCAGACCTGCCATTCCTAAGGAGTCTGCCCATGGAAACAAAAGAGGACACTGGTTTTGCTCCCATAGAATGATTGACCACCCCCCATCATGTTCCCATTTTCCTGGTCCCTTTGGAAGTCACTGAAACTTTCCCTCAGGTGTATGAGGGGCCACAGGAGGGGACCTAAGATCTACACCTATTTCTGTTTAAAGCTGGATGGAAATTATGAGATGCTTTGCACACCCCAAGAAGCAGGGAAAATGGCCCTTCCCTGCCCTCCCCTCCCCATTTAACATTGTTAACATGTGCCCTGTGGCTACAGGTGCTGTAGATTGACACAAATCCCTTCCTCTGCCACATCTTCTGAGGCGCTAGTTTCACTGCCCAGGGGTGTCAGTCACCCAGCAATGCAGGCATGTGCTGATGATCACAGTGCTTATCAGTGCTACTGAGATAAACCACACCTAGCCAACAACCTGCAGATAGCAATAAAATAAAATATATCATGCTCTTGATTCTAAGTCTCACGTGGCTAAATGAGCCTCCTGGTCACTGTCCTTGACTTTGGCCCAACTCTAGTGGCCACTGCAGTGACAGTGATTTGAGGGCAGGGTTGGGTATGAGCCTCCGCTCTTCCCATCCTGCCCTCTAACTATGTTGTGACCTATGGCTTACCTTTTTCCCACCTGCTACAGGAGTTATCCACAAAACTGGGGTTCTACCCCTCCAACTAATTGTAAGTTTACACATCTAATTTTTAGTAGTGGTGTGTGTAACAGGTGGGTCACTGATTCTTCGGACACGTGTCTTCTGGGTAAGGGGCCGGCTCTTACCCAGGCTCATTGTCACCTACTCAGGCACGTGCTGCAACTCACTTCCCTCCCCTGACCTCTCAGGCCTCACATGGGATGTTTCTCAAGTCACTCCAGCCTGACTCTGCTTTCTAACTCCTGGTATTTCTGTCACTTCAGCTTGACTTTGAGCCTGGAAATCTGGCTGGGGGATCTCGTTATTCTTTCTCACAATTGTCCAGGCTACTCTTGGTTCTTTACTTATCCAGATAAACTTTAGTGTCACTTTGTCACAATCCAAGAAAAACCTGTTTGGAGTTGATGGAAATTGCATTGAATGTATAAGTTAATTTGGGGAGAGGTGCCATCCCGCAATGTCACATCTTCTCAGGAATGAATATCACAGTTCCTCATGTCTTTAGGTCTTCTTTGATGCCTTTGGAGAGTGTGTTTATTACTTTCTCTGTAAATGCCATGTGCATCTTCCTTCTCACTGAAGTACTTCTTGTAGCAGGAGTTGGGATGGAGACATCTTAAATTGTCTGATGCTACCCAGGATGTGTGGGGTCTGTTGCTAAGCATAGGTTCTGGGTAGGCAACCACTTCCAGTAAACCTTCCAGTGTTCTGCCTCCTGGCCTCTCCTTGCTGCAAAAGAGTCCACTGAGTGTATACCTGCCATTACGTGGAACCCTCAGACTTTCCTTCCCACATGGCATTGAGATCCCTGTCTCCATTTGGGTTCTGTAGGTCTCTTTGCTGAGCTTGACTGTGAATCAACTCATATTTAACCTGTTTATTTCTTGTGTCTGAGGATTTATATTATTCATCAATTATGGAAAAATTTCATTTGTAACACTACATATTCCCTCTACTCCCGCCTTCTCTTCCTTCTGGAGCTTCTAGAGTAGAGCTTACTAAGTTTTCTTGGAAAGGGCCACATAGGAAACATAGTAGACTCTGTGAACCTGAGGGTCTCTGTGTGAAAGTACCTTTGGATTGAGGGTGAACAGCCGGGCAGGGCTGTACCAGTAAAGGCTGCTCACCTCTCATCTGGATGTGGTTTGATGCCCCCTATTGTGGACATTTTTACCAGGTGTCTCCATCCTCAAGTATCCTAAGCTCTTTCTTATCTTCCATTTCTCAACTGCTCTGTGGGCATTGAGGTGATATTTCACAGCTTTATCTTCTAATTCACTAATTCTCTTACCAGCTATATCCAAATATCTCTTTAACTCCGTCCCCCATGGCATCTTATTTCTTCCCTTAGGGTTCTGATTTCTTTCGTGTTTTTTCCTAATCTTCAATACATTCTTTTCCCAGTCTTTTTGTTTGGTGTGGTACCCACTTAAAATCTGGGACTCATAGCCCAGCTGGCTTTCATTCATGGTGGATTCCTTCCATGGTGTGTTTGGCTCCAACAGAAGAACTCTGGTGGCCTGGGCTTTTGGGCATCCCTCTGAGGAGCTGTGACATCACATCTGCCATGGCCGCACTGTTCCACTGGCCCAGGACCAATTTTTCTATGGATGTCCCAGCTGGATGATTTCTAGCCCTACAGGTGAGTCCTGATCTGTGTGAGGCCCAGGTCCCTGAGAGTTTCCCAGGGACCCCCTTTCTCTCCACCCACACGCCAGTGGCCAAGTGGAGGGGACCTTTCAGGATGTCCTATTGAAACTCAGCCTCTAAGGACCCCACTCTCAGCCCTTGACCCCCGTTTTTATTTTCACTGCCCCCCAAGGCAGACTCAGATGTAGACACCAGGTTCTCTGCCCATGTTTGTGTCCCTTCCTTTTTTGCCTGCTGAAGATTTTTCTTTCCTGTCTGATGAACACAGACAAGCATCTGAAGTAGCATTTTCATAGTTTACCCAACATTTCTGCATGTTACTGGGGTTATATTTTTAGGTTAACTTTTTCTGGTGAGGGCTGTGACGCTGAGTAGATTCTCATATGAGCTTGTAAAACTCTTTGCCTGGCTCAGGTACTTACTGAAGACATGCAAGGATGAAGACTCCACTGCCACACATGAGGGCAGGGCCTCCCATAGCCAGAATCAAGTATGACCTGGGGACTCAGAGCAGCTTTGTGCTTGTCCCAGTGGAGATGTTAAACACTGAGGGAGCCTCTGTCTGTGTTCAGTTTAGGGTACAATCAGAGAGGGAGGGGGAAATGCCAGTCCTGGACACACAAAGAGGTCACCTACCAGGTTGTTGTGGTAGTGGCTTGACACAGCTATAAGGAAGTGGCAGCAGAGGAAATCCATACACTCATTGTACCTGTGCAATCCTAGGCCCTTTGCTGAGGTCACAGTGGAGGCCATGTACATGGGTTTGTGAGCAAGACTGAATGGGGGTCAGGTCTCTGTGAAGGAGGTAGGTAAAGGAAAGGCAGGATGGGGAGGAGGCATCAGGCTGCACATGAAGTTGTTTCCCAACAGCTAGGGAAGTGAATAGCTACGGCGGTTGGGAGGGATCAGAATCCCAGCCTTTACCTCCAGGATATGCTCACATCCTGATGGGTATGTCACTTTGACCTGGGTATATATGTCACCTTATTGAATAAGGGGTCTTAGAAGATGTAATGAAGTTAGAGACCTTGGAGTGGGATCATCCTGGGTCATCTGGATGCATCCTAGATCCTGCGTCTTTATGAAAGAAGTGAGATGGAGAAAACAGACCCACAGAAGGGAGGCTGAACGAGGAGGGAGGCAGAGATGAAGCATGCAGCCCCAGGCTGAGACACTGAGGATATCTGGTCATACTAGAGACTTGTAGGACCAGGAAAAAGGCCCTCACTCCAGAACTGTGAGAGAAGGTTTTTGTTGTTTTAGAATGAATGATTTTTTGTTTGTTTGTTTTGTTTTGTTTTGTTTTGTTCCAGTACCAGGAATCGAACTCACCACCTTGAGCTTGCCAGGCAGGCGCTGTGCTGCTGAGCTAAATCCCCAGCCCCGTTTTTGTTGTTTTAAGCCATCAAGTTGGGGCACTTTGCTGTGACAATCACAGGATGCTGACACAAGGTACACATGATGCCATGAGAAGCACCATGGTGAACTCTGAGACTGATGGGTATTTGGACTCTTGCTCCATGTCCTTTTTCACAGACCAGAGATCATGTGATGATCATGCTACCCCAAGGGGTGGAAGTGACTCTCATCTCCATTTCCCCACAGGGAAAACTGAGGCCCAATGTGGTCACTTGGACCACATTGGGACTTGAACTTGGGTCTCTATTTTTTTTTTACACAGGGTCTTCCTATGTAGTTCAGGCTGGCCATGAACTCCCTTTGTAGCCCAGGCTGGCCTCACACCTGTGGTGATCTCCTGCCTCTGCCTCCTGACTACTGGGATTACAGGGGTGTGCCACCATGCCTGACTTGAACTGGGCCTCTTGCCTCCTCACCATGTATATACCTTACAGTCAGGAGAGGAGGCTTGTCCATCTTTAGGTTATAGGAATATCTGGCTGCTAAGGTGCAGTCAGCTTGCTGGCATGGACACAGGGCCTCTGCTGGCTGGTGAGGTAAGAGGGTATAAGGGGACCTCCCCTCCTGCCCTTGAATGGCATTGCTTTGGGATCTTTCCCAAATGTAGGAAGAGGAGACCCATGGGCTATGAATAAAGCACCTCAGCACAGAGGGATCTTGCCTGGGTCTCCCTCAGGCATGATTCTCTTGCCCACTACCACCTCCTCGCCTGTGTTAGAGGCCTGGGCAGGCCAAACCCTCCCTGTCCCGTGCTGCCACAGATCCCAACTGGTCGGAGTGCTGGTCTTCATTCTGCAGATAGCTAGCAAGGTGACTTTGGTGAGCTCCTTGCTCTCACTATCACCAGTGTCCCCATCAGGGAGTGTGAGGTTAGCTTAGCACTGAAGGGTTGAGCAGGCTGGGTAGGCAGCAGGGAGGGACGGAGCCCACAGATTATAGGGCTGGGTAGTTCCAGCAATAGAGCTGCCTCCTTTGCCTGTGGCACCTTGCTGAGGTGAAACCATGGTGGAGCACCCAATGGGGCTCAGGCTATAACCCAGCATTGTAGGCACTGTACAAATCCAGAGACTCACTTGGGCTGCAGAATCCTCTGAGCCAGAGGGCCTCAAGAGCTCCTCCTGGTCCAGGAGCCATGGATCCAGAATTCTGGAATTCTGTGTGTCTCTCACCTAGGCTGCTTGCTGCCTAATGCAGGCCGAGACTTTGCTTTCTTCACCTGCAAGAGGAGGATCAAATCTGGGAAGAAAGACAGATACAGTGTTGTGAGAGGATGTGTGTGGTCTGAAATCAAAACATCCCTGAGAACTCGCTGTGCTGACTCTGGATCCCTGCCCAAGACGGCCTCAGAACTCAGGCCCAGGACCAGGCAGGGCAGGTGGGTGGGGCTGTTGGGGTCTCAGTGCTAATGGCAGGCAAGGAGTCAGCCTGCCTCCTGCGCCTTCATGGGCTGTTCCTCCAGTGTGTGGCACATTCAGATTTCTCTATTTAGATTCTCTTTATTTATCTAATTATTTTTCTTTTTGAGGGACTGAACCCAGGGCTTCACATTGAGCTATATCTCCAGCTTTATTTTATTTTATTTTATTTTGAGACAAGGTCTTGCTAAACTGCCAAGCTGCCTTGGCTGGACTTAAACTATTGATTCTCCTACCTCAGCCTCCCAGTTGGGATAGACTATCTCAGCTGGGCTAGATTCTTTTTAGTATTGAGGAAAATTTATAAACACTGAAATGCACAACTATACAATGTCCAATTCATTGAATTTAGGAAATTGTTTTTGAGGATAACTATTTTTAAGTAGCTTTATTGGTGTATATAATTACTAACCCAGTAAACTATATACATTTAAAGTTTGACACTTATAAGTATGTGCCTTCAAGACCATCACTGCGATGAAGACAGTAGAAATATCCCTCCCCTGCTTCACCTACCCCCAGCTAACCGCTCACCTGCATCCCACACTATGAGTTGATTTGCATTTCCTAGAATTATTATGAGTGGAAGCATACAGTCTGTATCCTTTAGGTCTGGCTTCTTTCACTCAGTATAGGTGCTTGCATGTCACTTGCATTTTAAATCAGTATTTTGCTCATCCCTGTGTACAGATGTTGGGTTGAATCCTGTACTTCGGTGCACCCTGTTGGACCACCTGTGGAGGACCCAGGTGCCTCTCTGGTTTGGGGCAGTGGTGAACATTTATACAAGTGTTTGTGTGACCCATGATTCTATTTCTCCCAAAAAAAAAACACCTAGTAGAAAACTGGATTATATCCAGAGTGCATTTAACATTTTAAGAAACTGCCAAATTATTTTCCAAACTGGCCACACCATTTTGCAACCCCACACATAGTGTGTGAGTTCTGTGTCCTCCATATCCTTGTCAACACTCAGTGTCATTAGTCTTTGAAATGTTTACCAGGCAGATAGATGTGAAGTGGTACCTTATCCTGGGTTTATTTATTTTTGTTTTTGTAATAGTGTGGATAGAATCCAGGGCTTCTTCATACATACTAGGCAAGTGCTCTACCACTGAGCTACATCTAAGCCCTTTTCATTTTATTTTGAAACAGGGTTTGCTAAGTTTCCCGGCCTGCCCTCAGATTTTCCACAGCCTCCTGAGTAGCTGGTCTGACAGGCATGTGCCACCGAATCCCGGTTCTCCTCATGGTTTTACTGCATAGTCCCCTAATGACTATCAAAGTTGATCATTTTTCTTCTGCTTCCTCACTATCTGTAGAACCCTTGGTGATATATCTATTCTGATCTTTTGACCATTTTTAAATTGGTTTGTCTTTTTAATATTAATTGTAGCAGTTCCTTAAATATCCTGAGTGTCCCTGGAGTCAGATTCTCCTTGCTATCTGTTGAAAGTTAACCCTTCAGGGACCAACCAGTCCATATCTGCTCTCCAGGGAAGGATGCTGTCCCTGACAGGGATGCTGACCACAGTGGGTGTTACTGCAGGCTCCCTGGCAGCAGCTGAAGCATAGATGACCAACATGTGCCCTGCTGGCCATAGTTCTCCATGGGATGACCATACAAGCCCACCCTGTTGTGTGCTGTTCTCCCTCTGTGAAAACTGTCTGAGGCAACCCTGGCCAGCCATGCGGAAACCAGTACTAAGTGGAATCAGCAGAATGATAAACAAAGCATATTATGTAAATGCTGTCAGAGCCTGAGCAGGGCCCAGGAGCATGCTTAGTGGTGGCCCATCAGGCACACACATTTTCTACCACTGTCTACTGAGGCTGCAGCTGGAGTGGCTTCTCAGCATTGACCTTTGTCACAGCTGGGAGGGGGCATCCCTCTGGAGAAGGTACTGTTCAAATATTTGATAGTTGATGACTTAACCCAGTTAACTGTAAAGATAAAACCATCCTTCTGGGGGTTAATGTATGAAAGGAACATGAGTCAGAGAGGTGACCTCGCCTCCCCGTGGGTACTTGGTCGCTGCAGCCCTGCAGCCCTGTGACTACTGATGGCTGATTGCGGCCCTAGTCTCCACCTATCGCCAGGAGCTCAGCCACTTATGGCCCATCTGCCATCAGTCTGAACAATAAAAACTGAATCATGTTGTAGAGGCCACTATGGTGAAGGCAGCAGAGCCCATGCTGGGCTCCCACCCCCACTTAGTACCCCCAGGGTCTCTGCAAGGCTGTTCCTTGTGATGCTGTCTCCACTTCTGTGTCAGCTGTCTCTCAGATGTCAGCAGGCTACTGGCTGCACCTCCAGGTCAGCCCTACCTCCCATGTGGCCATTTGGTGGTCCCTGACCAAACAACTGAGGTAGGAGGGAATAATCTGGGGCCAGATTTCAGGGATATAATAACCATGTGGGCTCTTATGGGCTGCGGAGAGGGAGACCCTCCCAGGGCTCGGAGGGCCAAGGGTGCAGACGTGTGACTTGAGGGACCTGCCATATTGGTCTTTCAGGGATCCTTTTCTAAGAAAGGACCCCTAAAGGCCCAGAAGGGCTTCCAGAGTAGATCTGCCCAGGCTTAGTCCTTCCTGCCAACAGAGGGGGCTGAGTGAGCTGGGGTGAGGACAGAAGGGCCTGATGTCTGTCTGTTGCTTTCTCACGGCCCCTTGCCCTGAGCTCAATTCCCATGGGTCTGCTCCCTGCCTAGCCTAGCCAGATGTTGCTGCAAAGCAGTCACCACCCCCAGGGCCTCTGTGATCCTGAGGTCCCTAAGAGACAAGCTGAAGGCTCTTCCCCTCTAGCCCCTCCAGGGTTGTCCAGCTTTGGCTGTGTCTCAGGGTTTGAGGGGC